TATCTTTTGAGTTAAAGCTTTGTATTTGAGTTATTGATTTTATTAAGTTTTCAAGCTTTGTATGCTTGAATCAGTTTTTCGCTTGTAGTTAGCCAGGGTGAGGGTTCGCTTGGGGACCGGCAATGGTTCTCATGTGTTGGCCACGTCCAAGGTGTAGGCTCAGGTCGTGACATTCATAAAAGACATACCATGCTCCCTCTCAAAGTCTATTTGTGCAACGCATGAATGAAGTCCCATACCCCATTCATACTAAGCCGAACCCCAAGAGGAACCATGCAATTTATACTGTGGGAGTTTCTCTAACCGATAACCATCACTTAAGAGTTATAGTGATGATACAACGATCTACCTCACACTGCCAGCGCATCCTATACCCGGCCAAAGGTATAGGACCTGAACTACTAAGTGGATCCACTAGTATATGCGAAAAGGATTCATCTAAAAAGTATGACCCTTTTTACCCATGATGGCTACATGGTATATGGGGACGTGAGTTATCTGAACTCAAACTCGCCCCCATATCGGTGCTCAATACTACTCCCAAATTATACTTAGCTCATATATTTGTAAAAACAAAACTCTTTCTTTAGTTTAAGATAATTACTCAAAAACTTAGCTTAAAAGCTCTCTTGGAATCGATGTTCCCTTTCTTGCTCAAAACTCTTTTGGAAATCTTAGTTTCCTCTCATCTTAAATGTGAAAACATTTACTCTTGGGAATACTTAGTTCTCATATATCATTTTAAATCTCTTTGGAAATACTTAGTCCCCATGTACTTTTGAAGAAATGAACTTCAAGCTTTACTTTTTACTCTTTACTCAACTCAAAACTTAAGTCTTAAAACAAAGTTAAAACGTATATAAAAGACTTCTTAAAAATATGGTTCACGCCGAAATATGTACTTGAACGACTCAATGCAAGGTTTTCAATAACGATAGATAGACTCAAATACTTGGAATTCAAGAACTTCAATGATACTACAAATTTCAAGAATGCTCAACTCAGAGGGTTCATGCCGAATTATGAGCATGAACTACTCAACTCAAGGACTCAAAGATACTTCTCATCTCAAGATTGTTCGACTTATAATGTTCATGCGGAATTATGGGCATGAACAACTCAACTCATGAACTTCATGGGTAATAGGTAATAGAGACTATATAATTTAATTAACGAAGCTTCCTATATGTGGAAGTAATTCGAAATATATTAATTAATTCTAGCAGAAAAATTAGGAATTATTCCACTAAAAATTGTATTGCACTCCTAAGTTTCATTTTGAACTTCTTCCATTAAACCTTATTTTACTCCACATGTTAAAATTTAGATAACATCAACATAATAATAATGTAATTCCAAAAGTGGGATCTAGAGAGGATGGTGTATAAGTCCTACTTTGTGAAAGCAAAGAGACAGTTTAATTTAGATACTAATTAATTAAATTTAATTACTAACAATTTATCTTATTGATTATATCATTTAGACTTCCGTTTAACTTATTTCATGTGACGGATATAAAGTACATCTTTAGAATTTAAACATAAAAACTCATAAGCTATTGAAAAGGTGTATCATCATTCTCTAGACCAAGATACGAATTTCGTCAACTAACTATTATTTCGTCAATATATGTTGTCATCATCCAATTTACTACACATATTGACCCACAAAAGAATATTAGTAATTTTTAGTAAATTGAAACATATAAACAATACATAAAACTAATAATAATTATACCAAATTAAGAGTATGGATATTTAATGGACTAGAAAATTTATTTTATTAAGTCAGTTAAATACTTATTTTTACTTGCATTCGTTCAACACAAACAAAATGTACTAGCATAAGAAGTCAAAATTTTATCATCCCATAATCAAGATATATATTTAGCTTTCTGTTGCGATCATTCCAATGACTTGTCCAAAATCATCTTAGATTGTGAACATACTCTTTATTATTTATATGAACTGGTGTAATTTTTCGTGTATAAATCAAACTCTATATACTAAATCATTAATTATAAACATGAAGGATACATAAAAAAAAATTATTATCGATTTAAATATATATAATAATATTATATATTTAATATTGTATCTAAGCTCATCGCCAATAGTATATATCATAATAAGGAGCTCTTTGACATTTGTGCATGGAGCATTTCATTGGCTTGGCTTATGACGAAGCTAATTGATGATTTTATTTAGTATTTCAAATGAGGTGTTTATAGAAAGATACCATTGCCGAAGCAAATGGCATCAATATGTAATAAGTTTGATGGTTCATTATTAGGAAAAGTATTTACAATATAAAATACAAGAATTTATTAAGCCAAACCTAAATACAGGTTTTCTAATTATGAAGTGTTTACTCTATTGCTTAAATGTTGAAACTTCCATCGAAAGGATCTATTATATTATGGCTTCTGTTTGATATCATTTGGGACGAATTCGTTTTAACATGAAGTTAGATCTATCCAAAGTTATTAATCTAGTATTTTCCTTTTACCTATGATCAACACATATATTTTTTTCAAAAATTATGTTTCTACCCTTTTTCCTTATTTAAAAAGATTTGCGTGTAAAATTCTTGGTGTCATTATTTTCTTATTATTTTAATTGTATTTTTCCAACAAATTGGTATTAGAGTTTCGATTGCAATATCTATATTTTTTGAAAATGACGAAAGTCAACACAAGTAGAATGGTTACTTTGATGACGTTAATTATGTCATTTGAAAGGGGGGGGACGAAAGATATGTTCTATGTCAAGAATTTTTATCAATCACTCGTTACCACTATAAAACCTAATAATAAAACAGATGACGACAGGTCTGTTGCACAGGTAGTGGATTGACGATAATGTGGTGAACTATATTTCTAGAGACACATGCTCGGACCCTATGAGAGCATATTAAAAGTTTGTATGCTCGGAATAGTGGAAACAACAAAATGTTCTTGATAAAGCAGATGTTCAACTTAAAATATCATGATGGGTCTAACAGATCATTCGAATAATTTTTCGGGTGATCATGAACTAGTTATTTGCTATGGGCATTAAATTTGATGAAAAACATTCAAGGCTTGCTTCTACTTGGTTCCCTACCACCTACCGGCCTCTTAGAGAAACATTTAGAACTTTATTATCAAATTCATTACCAGATTTGCATCAAAAATGGTACAAGATCTTCGATGGTGACAGTGGCTAGGCAATTTTCATTTTCATCTTCTTTTTTCCTTTTTGTCTTTATTCTCCTTCTTCAACTTCTGACACAACTTCTTTGTGCATCCTTTCATGTCATAATGATAGCACTCAATATCATTAAGTCTGCCTTTAGATTTGTTTCTATTATGTTCACTATTATGAAAATCACGCTTCTTGCTTCTCCCCCTCAGGACAGTCATCAGGGCTTCCGACAAAGAGGAACCTTGAGATTTTCTTCCCATCTCATCGTTCAGAACATTGCTCTTCACGAAATATATAGAGATCACACCATCCAAAGTAGAATTTGACAATGAAGTTCTAAATGTATCCTCCGAGTCCGATAGAGAACCAAGTAGAACCAAACCTTGAATTTATTCATCAAATTTAATGCCCATAGTAAATAACTGGTTCATGATCCCCCTGAAAGTTATTCAGATGATCTATCATTAGAGAATCATCATGGTATTTAAGCTTAAAATTTGCTTTATCAAGAACAATTTATTGTTTCCAGACTTCCGAGCATACAAACTTTCAAGATGCACATATAGAGTCAGAGCATGTGTCTCTCTAGAAACATGATTCACCACATTATCATCAATTCACTGCCTAATAAATCTACAAACCTTTATGTGCAACAGATTTCACTCTTCATCTATTTTATTATCAGGATTTTAGTGGTACACACTGACTGATAAAAAATCTTAACATAGAGCAGATCTTCCATTTTCCCCTTTCAAATGGCATAATTAACGTCATTCAAAGTAATCATTATACTTGTGTTGGCTTCCATCGTTCCCCAAAAAATAGAGATATTGCAAATCAAAGCTTTAATACCAATTTGTTGAAAACACGCGGAATAACACAAAAATATTCACAATCAAAATAATGGGAATAAAATGAAAAAATAATGACACCAAAAACTTTACGTGGAAATCCTTTTAAATAAGGGAAAAACCACAGGTCAAGAAGAGCAACTAATATCACTATAGCAAGAAATTTTACACGGTTGTCGAGTACAGTACTCAAAGTGACTACAATACGCTAAAAAGATATAACCCTCTTTTGATTTCTCACCTTACTAAAATATCACTCACACTATTTTTGCTTCAAAGATAATTTTCTTGTATAGTCTATGGTATACTTCACTTTGCTCTCTAATAGTTTTCTCTCTATTTTAGGTGAGTTCACAAATAAGCAAAAATTCTCAATTTATACGAAAGAAAAGCATGCATGTGTCTTTGATGACATAGGCAAATGTAGCAATTTCAAAATGTGAAGAGATCTTTTGGCCGGTTGTCAATTTCATCAAAGGTGTGAGTAAATCTTTTGTCCATGCTATTGATCCCTATCAACATATGCTAGGACTCGGGTACTACGCATGCTCCTTTGATGAAAGATCGCAGGTGTGGCTCCTTCCTATAGTCTCTACTGCCAACTCGTTTCACTCCAGTTTACCGTGGCAACTACAGCAAGCTGACTAGCTAGACTATACAAGCATTGCAGATGCTCAACATTACCACAACTTGGACCATTCTGGAGCAAATCCATTTATTTCTCTGAAATTTTAGCATCTTGAAATTACCTCAGGAAGATGCTTGTAAATGAGAACATAAGTCTAGGGAGAGTTATGGATTTCTGGCTCTAATGTCATTTCATTCAGTAGTTTTACATCTTATACATCAAATGATAATGGATGTTTTTCACTAATGCTTACACAGATAATCGAAAGGTTGGTATTGTCTTCAATATGCTGTTAAGTATGTTTACAGATATATCATGCAGAATTATTCATAAGGATTCAAAAAAGGGAATGAAATCACCATATTTTGGCTAAATGAGAGAGCACATACACATCTTTCACCTCCTAGCAATAACAGTACATATGTTGATGCTTAATTAGTTCATGAAGCCAATAGTTTCTTGTTCGTTCCAAAACCTGGCAAAGCTAGTACATGGACGTCATACAGGAAGATACTGTAACGGTTCTAGGAAGAACAAAATCTCGAAAAAACAATAATATCATTGCTAAGGATAGCTATCCTAAAGTTGAAATGATGTGAGTTGTAATACCTTGAATTGTTTGTGCTTTACTTTTTTCCCCTAACATTTGACACCAAATCCTTCAAGAACTTAGCTGATTTCGTGATTGGCGAATTCACGGCCATCAAGTTATACAAAACATTCTCAACTTCAACAATTGATGGCCTTGTTTTAAACCTTGAAACCACTTTCAACTCTCCATCTTCTTCGACGAACACGTACCATTTCTCACCACTCAAAACACCATCTTTAACACATTTAAACATCACCCCTTTTCTATTACTCAATATCCCTCTAACCTCCAATCCCATAAATGAATACACAACCTCAAATGAACCAACAAATCCACTCATCTCACCAAAACTACTCTCTTCATCAAAACCCCATTTAGGATTAAAAATCACCACAGGCTTTGGGTACAATGTATCAGAAATCTCCTTCATTGCAGTCAATCTTGAAGCCTCTGGAGCCATAAACACTACCACATCAGCAGAAATTTCAATTCTTGATGAAATATCTAAATTTTCAATAATGGGGTTGGAAGATTTCTTCTTCTCAAATTCTGTTTGTGCAGCTTGGGTTAAGGTTTGGTTAGGCCATAAAAGTAGAATCTTAATTTTTGGGGATTTTCTTTTGATGGGCATTTCTCCAAAAATGTCAAAAGCAAGTTGGGCTAATGCAGATGGGGAGTCATCAACAACTGGAATTTCGACACGAAATCTTGGTTGTTTGAGTTTCTTGATTTTCCCAATGAGTTTGGGATTGTTAAGGGGTTTCTCTAAAGTAGTTGAAAGAGAGAATTTTGCTTGAGAAATGGCATCTTCTTTGGTTGTAGGTGGAGTAGGAGAAGATAGTGAACATTGAAGAGGTGAAAAATCTGACTTGGGTTTTGTGAAGAAAACAGAGTGATAAAGATTGTTAAGTTGTTGTTTTGATCCTAAAAAGCTTAAGGAACTTGCTGTGTTATGAAGTTTGTTCAGCTTGAACTGGAATGAAGGATGAAGATTGGAAGCCATTTGAAGTCAATTCTTGTCAAAAGGAACAGAATTTTTGCTAAGAAAATAGGTACAATTATGGAAATATGTGTTCATCTGGATAAGGCTGTAGAGAAGTTTCAGTAGCCTCACACAACTTGATATTGTAAAATTCTTGGTTAGTCATTACAGGTGTCAAAATTAACGCATGAAATCATAACTCGACAACTTATTCAAGTTTGGACTAATTATTGGCCTGTCCAATTTTATATTTGAATTTGAGGACTTTATAACTTTATTTGGATGGTAGTTACGTATTGTTTCATAATAATATATCATATTGTATCATATTGTTTTAATGAATACTGTGGATATATTGTATCGTTCTCAATCATTACATAATGTCACGTATTCATAAATTGAATGATAAATCTATCAAAAAAAGTAAGGTACAAGGTAAAGTTACTACGAAAAAATAGAGTAAAGGATAAAATAGAATTATTAAATAATAAGTGAAGACAAAATGAGAAGAAAATATTAAAGTAACGATGTGATCACACCAAATCAGTCGTTACATATAATGGGTTTTTTCGTTATTACTTAACAACGAATTCAAACAATACAAAACAATATAACTTAAATACCAATAAAAATAAACATTTTATTTAAACTAACAATACAATACAATAACAACCATCTAAACAAGGTACGTACTCTAAACCTAGTAGGATAGAAGTATGTGAACAACATAATGTTTAACCCCCACGTAAACAAAATTTCAATTGTTTACTTGTAGTGCATACTTCCAAGAAAATAAAACTGCAACATAAAATACACTAACTTGCAACCTGGAGATCAACTGTTTATACTTGAATTAATTTGTTTTTGTTTTTCACACTTCAAAGATTTCCAACAAAATAATCCTTTCTCCAAAGAAAGGTACAAAAAAAGAAGAGGTAAATTATCACACAAGTAACTCCCCATAAAAAAATGACAAGTATAGTAATACAAAGCCCCATATGCTATTACTGATACAAAGACAATACTTTATCCACTATACAAATTGGAGGTGGATGTTGTTAGAGGTAATATAGTTTCTCAGTTAAATATCAAACTGCCATACAGAATTACAGACAAACCAATTCTAAAAGCTAGAACGAGAGTTCTGCTAAAAAGTTAGCCAATGCTTAGGCGAGAATCTATGGGACGCAAGCTAGTTTGACGCCTTGGGATCCCAATCTCACATGCATTAACCCGTGCTGCAAATCGGAGTGAACACAGGGATTCACCCACAGATGGAGGATCCGGTGAAACATTAACAAACATTAATGTCTTCGAGTTACCACCTAGACAGGGCTGAGTAAAACATGCAATGATCAGCAGGTGTGTGAAACAAAAGGTGTGAATATACACAACTGTTAAAATGACATTGGAAACATACAGATCAATCCTAAAAGTATACCTTTACCATCCTAGGAAATTAACCAGAACCATGTATTTTAACTAGGAGCTGAATAATCATTTTTACCTGGAGAAGGTATGTGAGCTTTGAGTTCCTAAAAGGCACATGCTCCTCTTTCTTTGCTAGAGCAAATATGACATCACTTAGAGACGATAGACTCTTGTTGATGGCCTGAATGAAACTCGTGGATAACAGGGAAATAAGTTAAAAGAACATCTTGGGAAGTAGGAAGTTCTTGAAAAGAGATAGAAAGTTTCAAGCAAATACTTGAGTTTCTTTTAGCCGATCTCCAGTACACCCACTCTTGGATAGACGTTCACTTCCAGCGAGATCAATCAAATTGAGTACACCTTGTACTTGTTGCTCGGTACTCTAAGATAGGATACTATTAGTCAACTGAAAATACTTATAGAAGAGGCAATCAAAATGGCATGCTAAATGTTAGGTGAATGTCCCCGAACCTCATTCACACCAGAAATTCTCAGAGTGAAGACAAAATGGCTCCTTGAAGACTGTTGGTTCATCTGAGTCTTCCCAACAGATCTACACAAAGAAGAAATAGAACGATAACTCAATAGAGCACAGGTCTCACAAATTTTAACTCCATTTCAGTCCAAATATAAGAATAGTTGGACCCCCTAATATATATATATATATATATATATATATATATATAATGACAAGTGATCGCATATCAAACATATTAAAGGTACAAATGACAAAAAGAATTGTTTCAGCAGTAAATCAAACAGGAAACAAAAGACTATTTTATGCAAAGGCTGATGTTACACACCCTACATTTTTGTTAAGTTTTAAGTTCACATGCATGCTCTAAGTTAAAAAAAATAATGTGTTTTATATGTTGGGAAGGTGTTCAATGCTTAAAATTTATCCCGGGGGTATAGGGATGTAAAGGACTAAGTGGAGTTTGATTTTAATGTCAATGGAAAGATGTCCAAAGTGAGCATAGCCTAACTTCAAATGTGCACAACCCTTATAATGCTTAAAAGTTTCTTCAATGAGACGTCCGGCGCAAATTTATGTCAATTTTACCCGTGTCTGTACAATTGAAGAAGGTTTACGCCACTGGGTTGATGCTAGCCATTGAAAATCAATGGCCACCATTAGAAGTTTAGAACCCTCCAGACTGCAAGCTAGGCATTAAGAATTTAATGCTAGGACGACTAGGAGAACTACTATATTGCTACAGAGTATACTCTTCCTCATCTTTCATTATTCATCTTTTATGTCCTGGGGCGGTCCACGAACTCGGACTCTGTTGGCTAAGGTCCTCACTTATCTCATCACATGAAGTTCTAAAAAGGCCTTTCAACTCTTTTCTATTCCGCAGCAGGACAATTTCTCAACACTAGCAGCCTCAAAACTCACTGGAATCAGACCCAAACTCAAAGTGGATGAATGAGAGGTTTTACCATTTAAGTTTGATGCACAGCACTAAAGCTTCACCAATTTAGTATCTAGATCAAATGTTATTTGGGGCATTGTGAAAATGTGAATTGACAAGCGGGTACATCAAGAATGATATGATGTACAAGTGTTAAGAAGTGATTTCAGGATCAAGGTGAGTGGAGACCTAACTTTAAGAAGTGATTTCCCTCAATTAATGCTTGTTTCACGTGTTTTAAATATCTTAAAGGTTGTTCTGTGAATTTTCTTATGGGGACGAGCGGGTACGAGTGTTACCATGCTATAAATTTTATGACTACAATTTGATTAAAGTGATACTTATGATAATTTTAAAGGTTTTATAATTACGACTCATGATATTTACCTGAAAGAAAAGTGATATAGAAATGATATGATGTTCACTTATGACTATCATGCTCATGTTTAAGCCTGAGGATTGTATTGGTGATATGAATGACAAAAAACATATCTTGGGATGTATTGTTTCCTTCTTTACTCTTTTTATATTTGAGCAGCGTCACAAAGACCTTATGATGTACTTTGATAATCTTAAAAGCTCCAAACTTGTCTAGAAAGCTTGTTTTGGGCCCTTGGCTTATATGCTACTCTTGTTGTGGTCTACATGTTGATTAGGACTGTAATATTAATGTTGCCTTCCTTATGAAATGATTTAGGCTCTCAGTGACGGCAATATGATGGTGTCATTATGGGCACATTGTCAATGATAGATGTAGAGGTTAAGGATTCGTTCAGCAGGAGAAACTTTGTTGGATGCCAGTCTTGGCCCCCTAGTTTGGGTCGTAACAGATGACATAATAAATTGCTAGAAAGATTGAAGAAAATATAAGGTGGTTTTACCTGCTTTCTGCTGCCAGCCCAAAAAGTTTAGAAACCTGACTATAGCAATGAACATCCACAATTGTCAGATCGGATACATGGGTATTGCCATTCACATCATGTTTGATGGCATATTGCTTTCCTACATGTTCTGGTCGGGATGCATCAAAACTAGACGAATTTGATGTTGATAAAAGATCCCGAATAGTTTCATTGTAAATTTCAAGCATTGAGACCTGAAATATGGTGAAAACACTTTCAGAAAAAAGAAACAAATCAAATTGAGAAATGATCATTACAAACCTCCATTACTAACCTGCATTTTATAGTTCCACCCTTGGTTTTGAAGAGACTGCCTGGTCTCAAATACCTGCTCTAAAGAGCGTGGAATAAGCCCTTTCTGATTATCAGAGTCTGGCTTGCCCACCATTGTGTGAGTTTTACCGGAACCAGTCTGACCGTAAGCAAATATGCAAACCTGAAAAGGAAAAGGAGGGTAATAAGCTAATAATTTTTGTGAGGCTGCAGATAAACATTTTCTTCCTCATTCAGCAACGATTTGGAACTTTAAAGATATAATCAATGTTTATTTTTTACATGTAACACCAGTTAGCCAGAAACAAGGAGCACGTAACTAAGGATGATTCAGAGTATTGATTCTTTTGCAAGACTTAAAGACATCATTTGCGGTAGCGCACAAAATTTAAAGGTATCTCACCTTATAACCGTCAAGAGCACTCTGTACAAGTTGGGATATCTCAACAAAAACATCTTCTTGTGAAGCCTCAGGCATGAATACTTTGTCAAATGTGAATGATTGTTTTTGTCCTTAAAATAACACAAACTTCGAAGTTCAATGTCAAATAAAAACTAAAATAGAAAAGGAAAACACAAATTCTTGCTGGTTGAATGCATTAGAAACAAGTGCACACCATTTTGGATCAAATCGATGCCTCTTCCTTGTGCTTCTGTTGAAGTTGGAAAAGAGATAACCTTTGTTTCTGCACTGACAGCGTCATCAGACAAAAATGGCCTCACCCTGCAGAAAACTCTAATGTTGCCTTTCAATTCCTGCATTGGCAGAAGATTCAGAGTGAACATCTAATTTGAATCCAAAAGTCAATTTAACGTAGCTTCACATTAGTGATCATAAAGTACCAGAATAGTATTGTGCAATTTTTTACGCAGTTTCTCTCCTTCAACAATTTTAGTTTCGGCATCAGCAAGACGGTTCTGCAAGTCAAAAATAACATTCTTCTGCTCTTCATATTCTTCTTTTGTCCTCACAGCTGACATGTCGGACATCTAACAAAGT